ACTACTAAAATTACAAAGCATATGAAGAAACAAGAAAATATGACTGAGGAATGAAAAAGATTATTTGAGCTAAACCATTTCTGAAAAACCCCAGGCAGACTTACTAGACAAAGACTTGAAGTCAATGTATTAAATCTTTAATATGTATATGCCTAAAACAGAAGATCAAAATTTATGAGGCAAAAACTTGTAAAACTGTTAAAAAATTAAATATTTACAATGATAGTGGCAGACACCAACACACCTCTATCAGTAATTGACAGATCAAGGAGGCAGAAAATTAGTAACAATATAGTTTAACACCACAGTATCAATCAGCTGGATTTAATTAGTATTTGCAGAATATTTTAACCAACAACAGCCAAGTACACATTCTCATAGAAAATCAATGAATATTCACCAGAATAGACCACACTCTGAGCCATAAAATGCATCTTAACAAATGTAAAAGACTAGTTAACATATAAAGTATGCCCAAAAAACATATTAAAATTAAACTAGAAAGCAATAACAGAAACAATTGTAAAGCCCTTAAATAATTGTAGACAAAACAACAAAGTTCTAAATAACACAAGAGTCAAAGAAAAATCTCTAGAGTAATTTAAATATTTTGAAGGAAATAAAATAAAACTATATCATATGAAAATTTGTGGAATGCAGCACAAGCAGTGCATAGGGGGAAATTTAGTGCACTGAATGCATATGCTCGAAAGGATGAAAGATCTAAAATCTGTAACCTAACCTCCCACATTAGGAAACTAGAGAAAGAAAGTAAATCTAAATCAAGCACAGAAAATAACAATGAGAGAAGACATCAATGAAAATGCAAACAGGAAATCAATGGAGAAAATCAACATACAAAATGCTGGTTTTTCATAAACATTGATAAAATTAATAAGCCTATAGTGAGGCTAGAAAAATAGAAAAAGTATAGAAATGACTAATTAGAAATAAAAGAGGAGCCATCACTACTAATCTCATGGACATCAAAAGGCCAGTTTCATAACCAGAAAGTTGATAACTTAGTTGAAAAAAACCAGTTCTTTGAAAGATGCAATCTCCCAAAAGTCACACATGGAGAGATAAACAATATGACTAGGTCTATATGTATTAAAGAAATCGAATCAATAACTAATAATTGCTTACATAAGAAAAAGAGGTCCAGATGGTCTCACTGGTGAATTGTGCCAAATAGTGAAAAAAGAAAACAGAAAAACTGACACCAATAAGCCACAATCTCTTCCAAAAAATGGAAGTAGGGTAAATACTTTCTAAATTCACTCTATAAGGTCAACATTACCCTACTACCAAACTACATGGATACATTACAAAAAAAGAAAATTATAGACAAAGAAGTCTCATGATCATAGTTGCAAAGATTCTCAACAGATATAAGCAAAGTGAATCTAAAAATGTATTAAAAATTATACACCACAACCCACATGGGAATTATCACAGGTGGAAAAGGCTGATTCAAAATTCAAAAGTTAAGTAATGTAAACCATCATATCAGAAAACTAAACAACAAAAATTATTATATTAATAGTTGTAGAAAAACCATAGGCAAAAAAAGGGAAAATATATTGAAATTAAGGAAAAAGAAATTAAACTGTCTTTGCTTTCAGATGATATGATTGTCTATGTAGACGATTCCAAATAATGAAGAAAGAACTGCTGGAATTAGTAAAAGATGATAAAAAGGTTGTAGAATATGAGGTTAATATACAAAAGTCAACCATTTTCTGTACATTAATAAAGAACAATTGGATTTGAAATTACAAACAACACCATTTTTATAGCACCAAGAAAACAGACAAAATATATTTATATACACATATATATGACAAAGATCTTCATGACAAAAACTACAAGTTTCTAATGAAAAAATCAAAGATTTAAATAAATGGAGAGATGTTCCATGTTATGGAAAAGAAACCTCAATATTGTTAAGATGTTGGTTTGCCCCAATTTGAATTATATATTCAAAACAATCCCAATAAAACTCTTTATAAGTTATGTAGTCAATAATGAAAAATTGACCCTGAAAATTATATGGAAAAGCAAATGACCCAGAATGGTTAACAGAACAAGGAAGAGTAAATTTCCAGCACTCACACTACATGACTTTAAGATTCATTATAAAATTATAGTAATCAAGACAGTGTGCTATTTCGGAAAGAATAGACAAATAGGTCAATAGAACAGAATAGAAAATTCAGAAATAAACCCACAAAATTCAGTCAACTGATCTCTGACAAAGGAGTAAAGGAAATTTAATGAAAACTGGTTTTTTTCAACAAATATGGCTTGACAAGTACACGTCTATACGCAAAGAAATAAATGAGACAAAGACCTTGCCATTTTCACAGTTAATTCAAAATGAATCAAAAACTTAAACGTGAAATGCAAAATTTGAAACTTCCAGAAGATAAGACAACAGAAACTCTAGGACACCTTGGGTTTGACAATAAGGTTTCAGATGCAACACCAGAAGCATGATTCTTGAATGACAAAATTGATGAATTGGACTTTAATCTTGTTTTGCAAAAGATAATGTTAAGACGATGAAAAGACAAGCTGCTGAATGAAATGAAATAATTGCAAAAACATAGTTAATAAAGAACTGTTAGTGAAAATATATAAAGAAGTCTGAACAACCCAGATGCCAGTCACAAGCCCTGTGGGACCATCTACACTTCTGAGCTACTGCCTATAAATTGGTCAGTTTATAGGCAGTTAAAAATCTAAGGGAAACTTTAAGACATACGCAGATACTTTGCTGAATTGCAGCAGGAGAAAATGTCTTATCAGCAGACCTATCTTTACGTCACTTGCTTTCAGAATAAGAGGCTATTTCAGGCACAGCAGTTTTAGTCTGTGTTAAAAATCGTAAGCGGCCTAAAAATACCCAAAAATGATGAAAAGAATTTGCAGATATATGGAATACATTATATGTTTTCAAAGTCTCCTGTGATGAAAAATAAATAATGTGTTGTTTGGCTTTGATTTCCTGAACTCATTCCTCAGCTATTTTCCAAAATATTCCATATCCTTCCGACATGCTTCTGCAGTTCCTTGAGGGGTTATGCCAATGATAAACAGTACCATATGGGCACAAATATCAAAGAATTCTGCTTCGACAGCAGAAGTATAACTCTCTAGAACCTTGTTGCATGAGTAGTATGGTCTATGGAGGTACACAGGCTTTGGAGTTACAGTTGATTGTGTATCCCAGTCCAGCTGCTTAGTAGCTGTGGGGTTTTGGAAGTTTCTTGACTAGGAACACTTATATAAACCTCATCTGCAAGAAAAGGCATAATGATACTGATTGCAAAAATTCTTCGTTCCTCCCTGTATACACGTACTTTGCAAAGTGCTTTTACAGCTGCTCCCTTCGAAAGGCAAAATCTGTATTTCAAAATGTTTAGAGTCTTACTTGCTCTGGTCAACAGAAAACTGAACATATAACAGTGTGCTAGTTTAGGACCTAGGCACAAAACTTGAGTGCTTTTGTTTTTCTTTCAGAATCCTGTTATCTCTGTGATAATAAGCATCACATGGAGAAGAACGAAGGTGCCCCAGTTGACAGGCAACTCACCCCTAGAAACAGCTGCAATCAGCATCTGACCACACATGTCTGAAGGATCCCAGCTGAGACCAAAAGAATTGCCCAGCTGAGTTTAGCTTAAATTGCTGACCAGCTGAATTATGAGCTAGTAAGTTTTAGGTGGTTTTTATGCATCACTAACTAACTAATACACATGCCCATTACAGACAGGTTGTCAGAATTCAATGAGAGATTGATTACTAGTTACCTGCAAACAGTAGACACCCTATAGGTATTGATTTTCTTTTCCCTTTATTTAAATTTGGATCTCTTGTTAGACGGTGGTGAGTTATGTACAGATACAGGTAGACATGTGTACATGTGATTGGTGCATAAATTCACCCAGTCTCCCACACCATAGGGGGAAAAAGACAACCAATAGCCTGTTCATTAGGGCCAAGGCCAAATACCAATATCAGAAGTTTGTTTAATCTATTTTCTCTACATCTAAACTTTGGAAGGCAAAGCTGTGGAAAACCTGAAGACTTGAGGTTAGGTCCTCCTGGGGGCTCCATTGTTCTTTTTTTCACTGTCTGATTTTTGGAAGGAAGATGGACAGCAGGCGGGGCAGCAGTGGTCCACCTGTGGACACTCTTTTTGCAGCCCTTGCTGTTTCTAGGGCCTTGTCCCTTCAGCCTTTGGCCTGGGGAGAGATGATAAGGAGGCACCGATCTTTCACTTCTGGAAGGAAATGAGGGTTCAGACCCTTCACTTCCCTCAGGGCTGCAGGTCAGTGTGACAGCCACTGGCCCTGTGTGCGTACTGAGGGCCTGGAATGTGGCTGAACTGAGACGTGCTGGGAAGGTGAAATACAGAGTGAGTTTCACAGATTGACTACCGAAAATTATATAGTTCATTAATATATTGATCATACATTTAAATGATAATATTTTGAATATATTGGGTTAAATAAATTATTACAATCCGTTTCACCTGTTACTTCTAATGTTTAAAAGGTGGTTATTACGAAATTTAAAATTCACACGTGGCTTACATTTCATTTCTTAAAGGACTGCCTCCTTTTTGAAATTTCAGGCTGCCTGATCAAACTACCAGAGGCCAGAAAGGTCATAAAATCTGAAACGTTAAAATCATTGCCATTATATTGTTTTCATTTGTGAATAACATATATATTATTTATAAATGGATATAACCTTATACAAAAGGTTAAATGAAAATACCCCTGGGCTGGGCCACAAGCAGGAAGCCCTGCATGAAAAGCCTGCAGCCGAGAACCCGTCACTTCGTCGCCTTCAGCCCAGCGTCCGATCACGTCCTCCGTCACTCAGTGGCTGAGGGGCGGGGCCTGGAGCCCTACCCAATCAGCGGCGCTGACGCAGGAACCGTCCAATCAGGCGCGCAGCCGGACAGAAGGGCGCGGCTTCCGGGATCTGGCGGGGCCTTCGTCTCTCTGCAGCACTAGCTGGGTCTTCTGTGCTCGGCGTGCTCCGCTCTGGGAAGCCCGGGGGGCCGCCACAGCCTCTTGCCCTTTGACCTGCAAGTATCAGGAGATCCATAGCTAAGAAGCCTGGACACCCGGGAAGCTGGGAAATGGTGAGTATGTGGGCGAGGTCCCGAGGTGGGCAGGGGGCTGATGGAAACGGGCTGGAACTGGCTGTGGCGGCCCCAGGCCTCCCCACAGCTCCCTCCGGAGTCTGCAGACCCGAGACCCCGCTGGACCCGGCCCCAGCTTCCCCTGGCCTCAGGATGTGGGCTTCCGCCAGCCTCACCCGGCGTCCGGTCCGCATCTGTGCTCGACTTCCGCCCGGCCCGGGCCCCGGCTGGCGGCTGTGCGGTGGCGGCGGCAGGGGCCTGGGGGAGCGCCCGGACCCAGGAGGAGCCACTGCGTGGGAGGAGCTGTGGGGCCTGGGGTCCCAGGCCTCCCTTCTCCTGGTAAAAATGAAAAGGGAGTCAAGGTTTTAACGTTAGAGAGATTATTTGAGCAAAGAGCTGTTCATCAGTGCAGAGCGCCCAGTCATGGTTTGTGGGTGCTTGGAGCAAAGGCTTTTGTAAGGGGCATGAGGAAGCGAACCAAATTCAGAAATTACAGTGACAGTTGTGGAGTCGCCTCATTTGGACTGTCCAGGTGGAAATTTCCTGATTATGTAATGAGAGGTTAATTGGAGGTTTGCGGTTGGTTCAACCTGAATATCGTTTCCCCCTAAGGTAGTAATTTACAAGACATGTATTTGAGCTGGATTTTTTTCCTTAGGAACCAATGGTACTAGTGCTACTTCAGTCTGACTGACTGCTAGTTAATTATTTTAAACACTCCAGAGGGGGACTGGTTTTCCACTGCGTTTCCAAATGTGTAACAAGCAGGGTCTCACATCCACCATCCTGTCCCCCCAGCCTATTTGTCCCTTATTGTACATTTCACACACAGTATTTTAATCATTTTTTCACAAAGCATTGGATGGCACTTTTTTAGACATCTGTTTTCTGTTTGTAAACGTTTTATGTGAGCAGAGAAGAATCCCCTGACACACTGCTTTAAAAAAATCTTTGCGTCTCTTCTTTTATCTTCCCCAGGCACAGACACCTTATCGGAATGTCTTTGGTTTGAGGTTCTGCTTTGGAAATTGTACAAGGTCATGTGTCCTGAGCCACCCTCCTGTCTTTTTCTGTGCCTAGGTTTCATAATTGTCTGCAGGTGACCCAGGACTGTCTCAGGGCATGTTTAGTGACCATTAGCACCTTGTTCCTTTCCTCCCAGAGGACAGCCTCAGTGATGGAGGTGGAGCCTCTTAAGGGAGCAGATGGATGCCCTGGGGCTGAGAGGAAGCTGGTTCTACCCATCAGTTACAAAGCTAACCCCTTAGGATATGCAGATTGTCTTCACCCAACTCCAGCTTCTGTTCCTTGGAGACACATTGCTGGTCAGCCAGTTGGATGCTGATATTGAGAAGATAAGACAGAAATGATTTCTGACATCTGGGTTCTCTCAGACGTGTGAAGGGGAGAAAACTATTCCAATGGACAAGGAAACCCCACTCCAGTGAGGGGGTGCAAGAATCTGCAGAGTCAAACCACTTGGGGCACAGTGTGGCTCCTGGGCAAGGGGGGAAGGTGGTCAGTGAGCAGTTCAGGGAGCAGTATGGAAGCAGAGGAATGTGCCAAGTGATAGGATGGCCTGACTTGGCGCTTGAGTCAGATTTGTCAGCATTGCCACTTCCTGGGTTTTACACCTTGACAAATTTTTTTCACTTATTTCAAGCTTAGTTTTTTTATTAACTGTCAATTGCATTTTAGCAGTAGAGCTTCAAAGGTAAGAAAATGTTTAAGAGGTGGATTTCAGAAAAGACATTAAATATATAGTCAAATATTCACTTGTTAAAAATTCTGATTTACCTTTTTCTTCACTAGAGTGAGTGTAGTGAGTTTGTCAGGCCTGTTCTTTTTTAGGGGGTGATTTTAAACAGAATCCCAGGACTTAGCTGTGGGAATGCTACCAGGGAAAGTAATAGGGAAAATCCTCTTCCAGTATGGCTATAGGAAATGAATACATTTCCACAAAAAAGTAGTAGATTAATTGGTGAATTACATTGATTCGTCAAAATATGAGTTCCTCTTTTTTGCAGGGTGGAGGACTTGTGGAGTTGATGTCTCTGTTATCTAGATGTCTGAGTTTAATACTGAATTTTAGAAGATAGGACTTGGCATCTCCTAGATATGCTCATATGTGATTGTTTACTGAATAATTTGAATTATGGAAATAATGTGACATGTTTATTGTCTGAAACTGATAGTTTTGCTTTTTCTATTGAGGTATACAATGTAAGTGCCTTTTAATTTTATTCTCTTAAATAAACATTCTGTTTGAGTGATTTTGCTGGATCCTTCAAACTGGGCATTTTCTTATTTACAACTAAGTAACCCGGACTGGGAAATAGAAGTTGGAGCCTAGTGACTCTAAGCTAAGGCCAATCTTGAGCCTGCAAAAGGAGGTCATTGAAGGCCCAGTTAGTTCTTCCTGGGGAGCCTCCCCTGCAGGTGTCCCAGCCTGCACACCCCAGCATGAAAGGAGCACTTCATACCGACAGGAGCTGTATAGCCCTGGAGAGCTGGGATCCACAGGCGGATGCTGTTGGAGTCGGAATGGAAGGAGTCTGGAGGCTCTTTCTGAGGATGGAATTGTTACTGTTCTGGGACTGTTTCTAGACTTTGTCAAATAAAACAAATTCACATTTAGGTAAGAAGTTACTTAATTCTAAAGGAGTATTACAACAGAGGGAAAGCACCAAGTATGATATCTTCCAGGATCTCAAAGGGTAAGGCAGGCAAGGGCTTGCTTTCATTTGGAGGAACAAACCAGAGTACAAAGGTGAGAGTGAGAGGACAAGATACAGGGTGGCAAATCAGATCCTAGATCAGAGAAAGTTCGACTCCCAAATCAGCCTTAGGAGGGGCATAAATAGGAGCTGTATGTTAGCTCAAGCAGAGGGTGGTACAAATTCAGGGGCCTGGGAGGAGAGAATCTTAAGCAGTTTGGTTAATAAGTATTTTGTTCTAACAACTGAAGACAAAATTGTTCAGCTGACTGTTTATAGGGGGAAAACATGGGAATTTGAGAGTCTGTGCCTGGCCTCGTGATAGGTATAGGAAGGAACTTCATCGAAGTTACAATGAGAGGGGTGTTGCTTTTCATTAAGCTATTCTTGGAGAACACAGAGCTGAAGGATTTCATTAATCACAGCTGTATTTACCCGCTCCATCTTCCCCCATGACTTTCCATTGCCATATTCAGCTCTTCCATTTGACTGTTCCTGAGTTGTGTCTTTTACAGTAAACTGGTAAACATAAGTACAGTGCTGTGCTGAGTTCTGCGAATAGCTCTGTCAAATTATTGAACTTGAGGAGTGGGTGATGGGAGTTTCTGATATATAGGCAGTAGCCCAAAAGTATTGGTGGGCCCCCGGGGACGTGTGACTGGCCCCTGCCGTGGGGGCAGTGTTGTGGGACTGAGTCCTGAACCTGTGGGTCCTGTGCTCACTTTGGGTGGTGTCAGAATTGAGTTTTTGGACACCCTGTTGGTGTTGGAGAATTGGTTGGTGTTCAGCAAACTCCACACATTTGGTGTCAGAAAAAAAAGACATCACAGCCTGTAATCCCAGCACTTTGGGAGGCGGAGGCGGGCAGATCACGAGGTCAGGAGATTGAGACCATCCTGGCTAACATGGTGAAACCTCATGTCTACTAAAAATACAAAAAATTAGCTGGGCGTGGTGGTGGACGCCTGTAGTCCCAGTTACTTGGGAGGCTGAAGCTGGAGAATGGCGTGAACCTGGGAGGCGGAGCTTGCAGTGAGCCCAGATTGCGCCACTGCACTCCAGCCTGGGCAACAGAGTGACACTCCGTCTCAAAAAAA